CCCTACCTCTTTTCACTAACCAGCTTAAAAGTTTTTAATGTATGCTTTCTTTCTTGTGAATACCCTTCAGCGCAAAAAATACTGGTGGGGGCTGCATATACTGGAAGGCATTTGCGTTTTTTCCCCACCTTGCTTTCAATTAACTATCACAAGAAATTCTCATCTTGTATCATTTATACTGCAGACAGGAAAAATCCTTCAGAACAGAGTTGTGTAAATACCTTTCTGTTTCTCTGCATAAAGAATCTGCACGGAACTGGCAAACCTAAACAACATCTCAGGAGATGAAACAAACTGTGAAACAATGAATTGACTGGTGATATTAAGAGAGGGTTGTACCTGAAGTTTTATAAGCATGTAATTATTTCAGCAAAACTAAGCAGTTTCATGGCTAAAAACCACTAAGAAATATATACGTTTTTGAAGAAAAGAGAAGTAGTTTTTGAAAGAGAATTACTTCTTTTTCCCAAAATCTATTCTTCATGTGAATTAAATATTTTCTGTTCCTTAAAGCTTTTACAGTTACCTAAATACGGTTCTTATTCTGTAGATTGACTGTTCAATATAGCAGAGTTGAGTCAAATACAGAGAAAAAAAAAACCCTAGTGTAATACACCATGAAACACTTATGATAATTGAAAAGGTGACAAGGTAGATGCTGGGCTAGCTCAGTAAGAAGTGGGTACAGAAATCTAGGTACTACTGTTATTTTAAGACTTCCTTTTGAATTTTCATAGCTTTCATTTGCAGACTTCTTCCTCCTATTTCACAGTATTTTGTTACATAAGCTGAACTGCAGTCGATAACTGTGAGCATGTTACATTCTGATTTATGCTTCTACGTGAAATGTAAAAAAAAATAATCTAAACTTATTATCATCCCAGTTCTTGTAATCTGTGAGTTTGCCTTTAGAGGTCTGAGAGAATTCAAGGAAAAGCAAGTTTTATAGCCAGCAATGTTTTATATAACAAACACCTATTCTTAGCTGATCAAGCAGGTGAGGAGACCTGATAACCATTTTGCAGGATGAAAATAAGTGATCTTGGGCCTGAAAAAAGTTGGTCTTTATTGTTTGGCTTTTGCTGTGGGTTTTTTTTCTGATACATTATTTCACTTATGAAACAAGCTAAATCTGTTCACACTCAAAATTGTCTTAGTGGTTGGTAATAAAATACTAAAAATTTGCTGTGTGCTAAAGACAAATTCAATTCACAACAATAAGAATAAAACCGAACAGCCCATGAAAGGATCAAGTATTCTCAATGAGTCAACAACCAATAAGTGAGCATTCAGTATAAATTAACACCTCTTGCATGATAATCAGATTCAAAACAGAAACTGCATCAAGTGAGACCCCAGTTGAGTAGATGAGACAGGACTAAGCTACTCCAATATGCAGCCTGAAAGGTACTACATCTATGGGAAATATTTCAAGACCATGATTATATTTTGCTAGACTAAATACTTCTGTGTCTATCTATAAAGCTGTCAGGATAAATTTGCGTCTAATATTAACAAATGCAGCACTAAATTCAGATCATTACAGCAGTGCAAGCATGTAAGAGGCAAATCATGCAATCAATACTACAATAGTCCAGCAAGCAATTAATGCAAATTACTGCATTTTCCATTTTCACCACATTTTTCCATGCACAGTAAGTCCTCTCAGGATTTTGTCTTACCTCTTGTGAGAAGCATCTCCAAAGAATGCATGCCAAAGACATTTTTTTTAAGTTTAAGGACATCTAACCACTTACTCCATTTTACAAAGAGAAGATAATATACAATAAAGAAAACACACACCTGAGTCAGAATGTGTTTCTCCAACTGATTATTTGACACAATTTTGCTTTAATACATTCATTGCTGTTAAGATTCAGGAGACTGTGTTATGACTAGGTATTTTTTGGTCTAAGGGCAATCATGCAATCACTGATATGAGGTGGTATCCCATGATAGTCAGTGATAGTCAGTATTACTATCACAATAGTGTTGAACTCACGTTAGGCTCACTAATCTGCTGGAGATTACATAATTCTTCCCATTTTGCTACTGGTCTCACACCAAATAATGAAATAGCCTTCCTGTGTCCCCCAAAACAGAACTACAGTAGAGAGTTGAAAGCTTTAGCTTCCTTGCCACTGCTACTGGTTTCAGAGAGTTTACATGATTCTAGGCAGAGATCTTTTACAGAAAGAGTAACCAGGCATTGGAATGTGCTGCCCAGGGAGGTGGTGGATTCACCATCCCTGGAGGTTTTCAAAATGAGACTGGATGTGACACTTTGTGCTATGGTCTAGTAACAACAGTAGGGTTGGACTCAATGATCCTTGAGGTCTCTTCCAACACAGTTGATTCTATGATTCTATGATCAATCTGTCTCCAAAATATCAGAAAATTCAGTTCTGGGTCAGCGTCTAAAGCACCTCCTCAAGATTTATTTCTGATTTTGTTATTTAAAAATCCTCCTTTGCTGGTTCTGATACATGCCAGTACTACCTGAGTTTGAAGAGTGCTTGAGTTGGGTGAAAGACATTGGATTGTGGGTCTAAACTGAACAGGAGCTCATGCATACAGAAAGGGAGAACAAGTGATAGTTTATCAGCTTCCAGGCCAAGCAGGGGTGCCCATCCCTTATTGAGCCCATGCAGAAAGAGAAGAGGTTTTACACACATGTAAGTTTAATTCTTACAGCTGTGACATAAGGGCTCACAACTTCTGTCAAACTCAGAACACTGCAGAAGCTAGTCCAAGGTTTCACAGGTCAGGTTTTAGACACAAGATTTTTCTTTTCAGTTCACTCTGTGAAGGTTTGCAGTAAGAAGTTCCCAGCTCCTCTGAATTAAGGACTGTGTAGGAGCTAGGAGAGGCTTATTTTCACAGATTCTTCAAAATCTGCCTCTGACAGAGACAGCGTCTCTGCCTAGTTCTGAATTTGCAAGGGCTGAGATGATGGAGCTACTCCCTGTTTTAGAGGGAAACCTTGGATTCTGCCAGGACCAGTGGCTGGGAGCTTCCTTGCTCTCCTTGGTCTAGAACTGATTGCCAGCTGGGAAAAACTCCCTCTCATTGCAAGCACCAGTCTCAAGCACAAATATTTAAGTGTGTTCAAGACCTGGTATTAAAGGAATCTTATTTTAGAATTTTCTCCTTCTACCAATACTGAATATTTCAATTCATAAAAATGAAAGTCTGTTGACTGCAGCATAACTGAAAGTCCTTTTTTTTTTCTTTTTTTCTCCACAGGATTGAGTTAAAGAAAAACTCCTAACAATGAAATACCCGTTTGATCTCCCTGTGCCATGACTGCCTTCTGTTCAGTCACATCAGCTGCTTTACATTTAGGCTTCTGCTTGACCCCAAGGAGTATTTGTGACAGGAGCATACGCCTGAGGAAAGGTTTTGTAGCTTGTGTTGCAACAGAGCTCAAAATATTGAAGATAATTTTTTTAAGTCTCCATTGTAGTTATGACAGATGCCCTGAAAGCATTCAGAAGGTGAGTTCTGACTTGTCATATAATATATAAAACCATATAACAATAAAGTCTTGAAGTTCTCACTAGGATCATTTTGTTCCCTAACTATGGCACAGTAGCAAGCACAGTCACTGTTCCAATAATATTGCAATCTAGGCTTTCTCCATTTTATGTACTACAGACTATACAACTGAAATGGCAAGTCACAAGGTATAACAAAAAATACACAAGAGGATTACTATATCTAAAAAATGCATGATTGCTTGATTCAAAATCCCTCATAGCTCCTTTCCACTTTAGTTGCTAAGGTCAAAGCTCTTTGGCCTGTTTACATATTTCTGGTATGTATAATGTATGAATCAAGCAAATGCTAATGATCTCAGTCTGCCTGAGGATGCTGGGTATAGATGAACTGAGGAAAGGCTGCTCCTGCTCATCACAAAACTCAGTCAGGTTCTGGATGGGAACGGGTCTTTACTAAAAAAATCCAGAAAATACACATCTTCAATACTGTAGTGATTACAGGTCAGTCAGCAGAATAAACATTGAGATATATTTATTATAGTAAAAATGAGTGATGCATAAGGAGGCATCAGTCATTTAGAGGACAATTCATTTGTAGTTACAATTAAAAACTTGTAAGAATTAAAGAAGATTTGGGAGAACTTTTGTCATATGCGACAGTATACAAGGATGCTAGAAGCACTATTAAAAACAGTTTGCAAACACCACTATTTTTTCTATTAGCTACTGACTATTTGAAAAGAGAAGGGAAAAGGAGCCTACAAAGTGGATTACTTGAGTCCAAAAATTACAAGGAAGTATTTATCAGCAGAGTGTTAAGAGCATCTGTACAGGATAGTCTAGATGGTCACTCCCAGCTGGGGAAATAATCCAGGTATTAGCCATATTAATGCAAAGAATCCAACAAAACCAACCAACCAAACAAAAATAATAAATTTTATGATGTGTAGCAAACTACACTCTTGTATTATTTTAAAAAAAATCTACTTCTTGGGTATAATTTTTCATTCCATGATGACATCCTAGAGAAAACAACATTGTTCTGTTCTAAGAATATAATGGGAGCTGCATTCTGTCTGTGCCATGCACCTGTAATTATCTTTCCTTTGTTATTTAGCAGTAAGCAAATTCTTCCCCTTTGTACAGTGACTTTTAAAGAAAATATATTCTCTTTCCATTTTACCTGAAGCTTTCTAAACTATAACTGTTATAACACATCACTGAAAAGTGGCATGCACTAAGCAACTGAAAAATGACACATTATGATAAAATCCCAGTAAGAACCTGGTAAAACATTTTCAGAAATAGATAACTTTAGTGAACATGCATGCTTCTTTGTTGGTTTTTTTTTGTATTTTCACTGCAAATCTTCACTCTAAAATCTTTACAGTTCTTGTGACAAGGACTATGTTAAGATATTACTGTTATATTACAATATTTTGGCTAAAATAGCTCTCTAATGTGATTTTAATATGCATTATTTGGTTTTCAGGTCATCCTTAGTGGTGACCTTTTATAGAGTTTGCCAAAAAATTCATTTTTGAGATGGCTATTCTTTGTTAAATATTCAAAATCGAATTTCCCTTTCCTAAATATTAACTATAATGCAGTAACACTGGACAGCTTAATCACACTATGTCTTATATTACTTACAGCTACACCTTTTCAAATATGTGTCTATTTGCAGGTATTTTTGAAAGCTAGATCACTTTACCATCTAGCTAGGAGTTCTTCACACTTCACTGCCAGGTACAATGCCACTGCAGGAGCTGAAATGGAACTGCAAACGAGCAAAAGTGGATATGTGCATATAGCTCATTTTAAATGTTAAAGGCAAACAGGATTCTGTGCTTGGCACTAATTTTCTGTACATTAAGAGTACTTAATCACTATTATTTTTACTAACTGAAGTTAGTCAAAAGGGAATTTACTGAGTATTTTGCAATTGCTTGACATATGAAAGTAATACACACTATATACAGGACCAGATTGTCAGCTGCATTAAACTCAGATTGGCACAGCTCAGTGTTCTAAGAGTAAGGAAGGAAAGCTTCAAAATTCCCCCAAAAGGTGTTCCTAATAGCTCTTTGACAACACAATGACTATTAAAACACATTAGGGGCTGCAGCAATGAATCTCTATCAGAAGAAAACAGCTGCAATCTGAAGCCTGACAAAACAGGCAGTATTAACCATGGGCAAACTCCCATCAAGTCTACGCTTGCCACACTCCCTTTGTCTTCCACAGCCCATGTCCAACACAGGCAACAAAGGTTATTGATCAGGCTTATTTTCAGCCATGTCAGGGGTATTGCACTGCATTAGCAAAGGCAAGTTTGGAGTAATATGGGTGTTGAAAACCTTTAAACAAAGGGAAAATCATATAGTAAGAGCAAATAGGCATAAAGTGTCTACTGAAATATTTAATTACAGTTTCTCTATTGATATGGCTGTTATTGATGCCATATCAGTAGTAACAGACTAGTCTCTATGATACAGGAAATTTAAATTACCTCCCATCTGTTCCTATAGGTGGTTCCTATCTTTATGACTAAAGAAAAGAAATCTTTTCATTTGATTCTTCACTTCTAGCAGTCACATGAAATGTCCACATGCACATGTGAAGGACTGTTTTTATGGTGAAAACTGATTACGTAGATAAAGTAAAAATGTTGCTATAGATATTGCAGATACATTTCAACACCAGTATATGAATATGCTGCAGTTAAATCAGAGATTATAGCGAATCACATCTTAAAAGCAAAAAGGTGGAAAATTTGATTTGCCTGCAAACAGCTTTTCCCACTCACAGTGAGGATTTTTAACCTCATTATCCACACAATGAAATAGTCTGACTAACAAATTGGAAAACCATTATAAATGATAACTTGCAATAAAGCTGTTTTGTACAATGCACTCTGTCATCCTGGATAGCCAAAAGACTTTTCAGAATACTGATAAGGTAAAAGACCAATAAAAAATCATACTAAGTTGTGACTGAGACTGGAAACATTGGCTAGTACTGGAAGTAATGTAAGAAGTGTTAAGGATATTGAAAAATGTAATTTTCATTTAGATGCATTAGAAAACACGGTCCTTATTTTAAAATTTTGTAGCTGTAACACTTAATTACATTTCTTCTTGACAGGCCACAGAATGGAATCCAAACTGTGATTATTTCAGAAAACCGAGTGCTTACTCTACTTGGATTTATTTTGCTGCAGTTTAAAGTAGTTATTAAGTTCAGAATTAAGTCCTAAGCTACATTACACTGTAGGACATTAGAACTTTATTTCCCTTAAGTACACTAAGCTTCTAATTGATGAATCAATGCCATATTGTTAAAAATACAGAAATAGAATGTTGATATTTCCATTAATCTATAATCTCTACCTGGGATTCAGGACTAACACAAAAGCACTGAACTCAACAGTGACACTTAGAAGCTTAGTTCTGCTGAGTCCTGATAACTGTTCTGAGAGCTGATCACAACCATTAAGTTGACTATTCTGGGCTGTGTTGTGCCTGACCCTACATGCCTAATGTCTTCCTCCTTAACCATTCAATGAAGTCATGCACTTCATTCTTGACTGATATAATTCTTTCAGACATTTTTAGCACTTTTTTGGGTTTTTTTTCCAATTTGCTTTGAAAATATTTGCATTTTTTTTCTGCTGTACTACTTGATTTTAGTGTTGGAGAGGTCTACACCTCTGGGTATTTAGGTACAAACTGAACAAAGTCTTTGGAGAAAAAAAAAGGAGATGGTATTTATTTCCCTTGATGTTACATGCCCCTCACACAGACACCTCCCCCCCAGACATGAAAAGCTCCAATTAAATATAATACATTTAAACCAGTTTGCTGTGCCTTGCCAATATATTCAAATATGCACGATTAATAAATATTATATACTGTGGACTTACTGGACCTCTACATGTATTCTACTTTAAAATGAACAATCATGGCATGAAAAGTGGGGAAAAAAAAACACAATAAAATTAGTCCCTCCACAGCTGGGTAGACAGAGAGGAAAATGCCTTATTTCAATCAGGGCTGATCAAGTGTTCTAAAAAGGTTTTGCTACCTGACAAAGATCCCAGTACTATAAAATATTATAGACTATTATTTTTCTGTTTTAAGCAAAAGAAGTTCTTTGCTCCTGGATCTATTGTACTGTCATTCCTTATATCTTTTAAATTACAATGGGTGGTTGTTTAAACAAGTTGATCAAGTAAATGTTTGTAAAAAATTTTGTGTGACTCATGGCAGAGACCACTACTATTGCTGGTTAAACATTTAGGACAACGCTAAAAAATTCACGAAGAGCAAATATTGACACAACAACAGCAACATTCTTTAGCAAAAACACATACTTCAAAAACCCAAAAAAGAAGTCCTTCAAAGTTTTGCTGTTGGTTTTCAGTGAACTTATAAAAAGTACTGAAAGCTTTTCTTAGACCTCAAGGCTTGTGAAAAAAACCAGACCAGATGTCAAATTAGTAAGCAACACGGCAAATATTTTCAAAGAAATCCACACAACTCACTGTTACACAAGCAGGGTTGAATTTCTGAAATATGCCAAACACAATCAAAAGTTATCCAAAATTACATTAGTATACGTACAAATGCATTTCATGCCATCACGTGCATGCCGATGTTCACAGCCACCACACTTCCACCCTGTGAATCCAGGCTTGCAAGTGCACTGTCCAGTGACAGGATCACAGGGGACAGGCAGGGAACCGTATGGATCACACTCACATGGCTGGCAGGAGCCTCCTGGAATTTGTGGGTTTCCCGTGTAGCCAGAAGAACACCTAGACATTGCAAATACAAAACAAGTTTTGACCAACTGAGATGAAGTGTACCACAATGAATACCTGGCAATATTGGAAACAAAATTTATATGAACATTCATGAACCATTAAAAAAAAAAGAATCTTTGGTGCTTCATGACTCAGGAAGAAATATTGCAAACTGCCCAACAAACTGCTAATAACTTCTAACCAGGATAAGGAACAGTCCGGATGGAGGGGTTATGCAAAAGTGATTCCACATTCTTAACAGTTTTCAATTAAACTTCTAATATACCACAACAAAAAAACGGATCCATTATCAACATTTGTCTTACAGACCTAGCCACTTGTGCTTTGTGTTAGAAGTGAAATCTCCTAGTAGACGCTTGCTAATTTTGAACTCTTTAATCCCTCAGCAATGCTATGGATGGGACAAGAGTTCTCATTTAGATTATTAATTTGCAATTTGGGTATTTGTATATTTATATGCAACTGTCTTTCACAGTCAATGCCCATGAGGACACAACAGTTACTAGAACAAAAGGTATGAGTGCCGTCAAGATACACTATTAGAATGGCATCTAATTTTAGATAAATTTTGTATTTTTCCATTTAACTTTTGAGGCTCGGAGGAAAAATGTCCTCACAAATCAAAAAGTAAGATTAGGACAATGTCAGTGATATGAATAACACTGATTATCAATTTACAGTGGGTGTACATGAAAATTGTCTATTATGGCTGAGTTTTAACAACATGTAAAGAGTAAATAACTTATCCAAAGGCAAGTATTTAAATACTAGAAAATACATGCATATAGTATTGAAGGAAATTCATCTCCTTCATGCCATTTCTGCATTTCATTGTCCCTTTTTCTTCTTTTTCTATTCATCCTACCTTTCACAGTATTGGCCTTCGTATCCAGATGGGCATGCAGTGCACCGGTAATCGCTAGGTCCTTCAGCAACACAAGTAGGGCTAAAACTAAAACAAAAGCAAATAAATTCTTTTTTTCCCACTATACTGCATCATTTCACTTTAGTCAGCTGTGCAGAAGGGCCCATGGTAAGCTTCACTCTTAATGTAAATGGCAGCATTTTCTTATCTGTTTATAAAAACCTGTGGGAGATCCCTCCTCCCTATTAAGAATTTTGCGAATGCCTTGCTGTGATATGAGCACAATATGGACAAATGTTCTAAGAGCTGTATCAGAGAGGATAGAGTCAGTGACACCCATGCTGTAGACTTGTGTGACTGAGTGGTGCTGTCAACTCACAGTGATCAAGAAAAGGAAGCACTGGGAAAGGTGTGAAACAAAAGATTAAGAAACATACAGCCTTTCCTGTCTAATTTTAGCTTGAATGACAGGAGATGAAATGGCAAGAGTTTGCTCATAGGTAAGACAAAAAGAAGGAGAATGTCACAGCCATGCAGAACCTTCTAAAAGGCAGCCTCAGGTGATCTTCTCAAGGCTCTAATGAAGAGAAAAGACTAAGATGGAGAGAAAAAAATCCTACAAGCTACCTCTTTCATGGTCAGGGAGGGGTCTTATTTTAATCATAGAAGACACTAGATTGTCTTTACTAAGTCACTTTACTAGTGACTTCAGTGTGTACCTAGGGGAACTCTGCAAAGCAGCATTTGGCTGGAGTATTAGTGTATTAAGTGCCTGCACAGGCAGCTAAAACAGACAAAAAGGGTAGGGAGGGGAAAAGGAACACAACTAAATATTAAGATCACACAATACTGTAAAACTTGTTCAGCTTTTTGTGGAAAAAAACCAGAAAAGTACAGAAGTGGCTCATGATGAGCCTAGAGCTCCTTCTTGGCACAGTAGAGTCAGAATCCTACGCTAACTTGCTTATAATGCATTAAATCAATAGTGCTTGAATGAGTATATAAAATTACGCCTTTGCAAAAACTGTAAACAAATTGATCTATTACTCACAAACTCATTATCCAACGCATTTTCAACTCTATAAAAATAGATCCACAGTAGGAATAATTTGTTCTTTCTGTTATTTTCTTTTTTTTTCCCAACTCGTCATGTTTGAAGCTGACTGCTGATTGTACAGGAGTATAAACACAGTATTTAAAACCTTAGCAGAGTTTTATAAAATGCCATGAATAAAAGTAATTGCATTATGCCATTCACAAATACTACCACATCAGTCATGACATAGTAAGCTAATGAGATAGCTCATTAGCTATCTTCATTTCATGTAGATTATGCTTACTTGAGTACCATACAATAGCAGCAGGTAGGCTTTCTTCCTTAATAGTATCTTGAAGAGCTTTAACTGACCTGCACAATTGCAAATCCAATATGTGATACTCCCATTTTCCACCTAACACTGTAGCTTTATGGAATGGATCTGTCCCACCTAAACCTATCCATTTAAACTTAGGCATGTACTCTAAGACAACTGTGCAGGCATCCTCTATCAGCAGTGTAAAATGGAGATGCTCAGACAGGCTTATACACACACCTGAAACATCCCCTTCCCTGCTCTTTCTCTAATGGTGTTTTCTTTAAGTTTTAAAATAGGTGAGATGTACAGTTGTCTCTCCCTGCATTTACTATACAGCCAACAAAGTTGTTGATGGCTACAGCTAACAGAAATAGAAATCCATTCCATGATATCTAGAGACATCTGAGTTAAACTCTATAAAACACAAACACTTCTATTTCTGGACGTGCTCAGATCTGACTCCTTTCTTGACAGCACTATGAAATTGGATTACTATCTCATGATTAAGTGCATTTATTACATTCAGGGTGTTATTATCTTATCTCCTATGAAGGTTTATGAAACAAAAGGACCTTGTGATCACTTTTATGTGCACATGACACAAAAGGCTGTGACAACATCCACAGCCATACAGACTGTGTGGCCATATGAGGTATGGGCACTTTGCTTGCTCTCTTTTCCTCAGGCAGCTCAGCAATTCTTATGTGAAACCAGGATACTTAAAGGGAGCTTATAAAAGAGTTGGAGAGTGACATTTCACAAGGCCAGATAGTGAGACAGAACAACAGGGAACTGGTTTAAACTAAAAGAGGGGAAACGTAGAAGACACTAGGAGAAAATTCTTTGCTCAGAGTGGGTGGTGAGACACTGACATACGTTGCCCAGAGAACTGTCAATGTCCCAATCCCTGGAAGTGTTCAAGGCCAAGTTGGATGGGGCTTTGAGCAGCTTAGTCTAGAGGAAAGTGTCCCTGCCTATGGCAGGGGAGGTTGGAACTAGATGATCTTTAAGGTCCCTTCCAACCCAAACCAATCTATGATTCTGCTACACATGTATTACCCAGAGTGCACACATTTCTCAGCTGTGGAGCATTTCAGTGATGCTCCCTTCCTGTGTTTTACATTAGCTTTTAGATAAGGTACTGAAATGATTTCTGGAAGGGAGCATGGAGAATATGTCTAAATTCTTGTAGCAGCATGCCATAACCACTGGGGAGAAGACTGCTTTATTTCTGGGTAACCAAAGGTTCTTTAGCCTCAGAAAAAAAATAAATAGGATCAAATGATATTTTCAGTACTTCATACTGCCAGTTAATAACAGAAAATGTTTTTTTCCAGTCCATCTGCTGATTTGCAAAGCTGAGAATCTTGTTGATCTTTTCAAACTGAATGTCCTTTTTTGATACTAATAGGTCAAACACATAATCAAGTCATAACAGAAAACACTCATGAAATGGATACAACTCAGAAAAACTTGCAGTTAAGACCACATTATAACTTTTTGAGATGAAGGATATTTCTTTAAATCCTTGAGATTTGGAAATATTTTTAAAAACACTTGCTGTGGATGAAAGATGATGTATTTAGCTAGTAATGTTTGAGAAAGGACTTTCCTCCTTCAAAATAAATTCAAGATCTATCCAAAATGATAAAATGAAGAAGTAAGAAGAAAAACAACCGCAAAACTCTCAGCTATACTGGCTGAAATACTCACTAAACCACCCTAAAGGCCAGACAAAGCACAGAAAAATGGTTTTAAGGAATGCTTCCAGCCTTTCAAAAGAACAATCATGCAACACAAACCTTTTCAGAGCAGTACTACAGTATGGTGCCAAATATCATTAAGAGCTTCTCAGAAAACAACAAACAAATCTCAAGTGCCAAAGTATCATCTGTTGGGAACACATGCGGAGACATCGCGGAAAGGCTCATTAGCATAAAGCAACCAATAAAATTTATGCTGCAATAACTATATTGCTTTTAAATTATTCTATCTTTCACAAATTGCCTAAAACTCATGTAACATTAAATAAGGAATCAATAAATTCCACAGTGGAACAAGAAAGCTACTGTAACACATTTATACCAACATAATATATGAGCATAAGACTTTTTGCAGCTCCCTTGTGGCTATATTGTACTTGAGTTCTGCTCTAGCTTCATTTATGAGAATACCTTTATAACACACATTCATTATCTTGAGTATTGCATTTTCTAGCACTTATTAATTTATTCATCACAAATTAGCAAGGGAGCAATTTCTGACTTTTAAAGCTAGATCAATTAGCAAAAGTAGATACAAAACTTTTTAGTATGGCTTTCATGATGCAATTCTTCTGCAGCCATCTGAAATAGGACACAGTGAGCCTGGAACAAAGCTTTGGCTTGCTGGAAAAATAATTCTGCATCAAAAGTTTGCTTACTTACTTGTTACTAGAAATGGATAGGGGACAAGCACAAGGCTGACAGTCATCTGGAGAGCCTTGGACAATGCCGTAAAATCCTGGTGCACATCTCTCACAGTGGTGACCAGCTGTATTGTGTTGACAATTCTGCAGAGGAAGGAGACAGAATAAAGCTGCATTTGACAATTACAAGAAAGCAGACAAGATTTTGCTCTGAGCTTTAGGGATTCAAACGTAGTTCAATTCATAATTTCTCTTGCCCTGATATGATTCTCAGTGGGACTACTTGCTTTAAGCATCTATCAAATGCCTGCTGAGTAATAGATGGGCTTAAAAGGAGAAAGAATGGAGGTCTGTAACTAGACAGATGTATCTTACGGATTTTCTTATCCCATTCATCCTCTGTTCCAGCCTTTGAAGAAGGAGAAAAAATTAAAATTCAATCAAATTTTATCAAGTCATGTGTATTACTGCCTATAAGAGCAGCACTGTGCTTATTGTAAAACACATGGTATACTGCATCTTTGGTTTGCAGATGCCTAGTTTTTCTTTTCACTCAATTGGTAATTCAGGGGAAATAAAGCACTGCATAATCTGAACTCTAGAAAATCAGAATGGAAAACTTCAAAAGTTTGCTTTTATCACCCTCCCTGAACTTTTATACTTTACATATTTAAGCAAAATTCGATTAAAATATGTTCCTGGGTTTTTTTAGATCAGTTACGTAACTTGTGAATTTTACATTAAGATTAACCTGGTTAACGTAAGTTCAGAAGCTCAGTACCTGACAAATTGATGTTTCAGAGTCACACATAGTACTGTGTCCATGACACTGACATACAACACAAGTGCCTAAGGACTGAGCAGGTGTCCTTCCCACAGGTGGAGATGGAAGCCTGTAAAATCCTGGAGAGCATAACTGCAATAAAAAAGATGCAGAAGAAAACAGATCATTACAGAGTGGACTAGGTATGGGGAGCATTGCAAGCTCATCTTTCCAACCACCAGTTTTTACAGGTTGTGAAAAGAACCTGACAGGCTTCCAGCTGTGTTACAAACAATATACAGTACTTTATGATAACAAGAGCCAGCCCTAATTGGAAACACTGCTGAAAAATCCCTGGAGCACTCCACTGGCACCAGGCTTTTATACTCCAGCTTGAGAGACCTTTCATTCAGATGCAGAACAGCTTCCTGTTCTTACTGTGCATCAAACATAATTCCTTTCATTTCCTAAGAAAAGGGTTGATTTTCAAAATAACCTTTTTGCTTGGAATATGAAGAGCAAGCATGATGATTCTGTTTCCTCCACCCTTGATGATACTTTCAGGTTTGACAAGCTAGTACCTGCATGCAGACTACCTGATGGATAACAAGCAGAAGCCAAAGAAACAAGAAAATGGCTGCATGGCTGCATTATTTATAGCTATATAATTTAAAGATCATAAAAGTACAGAATTCAAAGTGTTAAAGGTTTTCCATGTCTTGAGATGAGAAGCCTCAAACCAAGTTTATCCCTCACTATGTCTCCTCTATTGCAGCTTGGCAATAAAGTTCTGAGAGCAGCACAAAAATTACTAGCAAAGCTGACACATGCAAAAATCAAACCCTTGATCTTCATTTCAGGCTTATTACACAATTCTATGAAAGTTGCTACATAGCTCTCAGAAATCATACAGCTATGACAGCATAAAAACACAAACAGGAGCATTTTGACAGGTGGGACCATAAGGGGAAAGTGCCTACAGAGAAGTCACTCATCCCATGTATAAATCCCAGCCCCTCATGGTGCCAGGAGCCTCTGAAAACTGTCTGATGAGGTCGTTTCCTACTGTAATGGGAATAGTACACTTTTCACATCACAACAAAATGGATGCAAAATAGACCAAAAGAGAATCTGGAGTAACTTCTTGCGACCAAAAGCAGGATTCTTCAGTGAAGCACTAGCTGTGACATGCTGGATTTATTCATACACCACCACTCTGACAGTTTTATAATCACAGCCAAAACCTCCAGGAGTCCAAGTTATGGAAAAAGTATAAACACAATTATTTTCTTTAGAATCACAAAGAAAGCAATCTAACTCACTTCTGATTTTACCCTTTTATTTTGACTTAGACTACATTAAGTTCCCTGAAGCATAGAAACAGTCTATCTGCTTTTTCATGGTTTGTGAAGAATTCTAATTTAGATAAATAATCTCAAATGAAAGTAATTCTGTTATTTACTACAATTTCCTTTTTTTAACTCCCTCTCCATCCCCACAAGAATCCTTGTCCAAACATGGTACAAAACACAGCTTTACAAGTCCTGCATGACTTTAGAATTGGGGTATAAATATGTGATACATCCTCAAACAAAACCGATAGCTGTTTTTTTCTAATATGCTATTGACACTCTTCTCACATATCCTATTTTGATTAAAGCATTTCTGAGGTGAAATGAGACAGACAAAAGATGAAGCAGACTACATTTTTAATTACTAGTTTGGAAGTTCTTCAGAAGTAGCCATTAGGAAAACTCTTACCACTGCTTTTTCAGCCTACTACTGGATTTAAAAAAAAAAAAAAAAAAAAGAAAATAGGAGGGGGGAGGATATAAATGTCACTTCTAGAAAAAACTGCTGTGCACATAGTCTTCACAATGCAATTATACAGATAAAGCATGAAAAGGATGCATACACCCTGTTAGCATTTGCTTAAAAAAATGCCTGGGTATCAGATGATTTTTTCTCCTGCTAAAATTAAATAAACCTTCACAGAACACACCATAACCTTCACTGAGTACACTAAAAATAAACTAAGTTATGAGCATGTGAAGATCACACAATTAAGCATGAAGTATGAAGGTTGCAACTGAGACATTTATTCCAGCCCCTGGTGGGTGTGAATTAAAATAAAGTTCTAATTATATTATCATATATTTTCCTTCAAAATTTCAATTTGTTACAGTAATTTTTTTAAAAAATTCTGTAGTTCCAAGCAAATATTGGAGCCCATTAATTTCTCATGTATTTACACAAGTTCAGGTGTATGCTCTTACAGAAATAGTGTGCAAAGAAAATTACTTCATTCGCTTCCTTGCACACATTTCCTATGAACTCACTGTTCCTGTTGCCTCATTTGCAGCATAAACCAATTGCATATAACATCTGAAGAGTTCTTACGGATAACAAGGCATCTTTCCCTTCATTTACTTACTCCAATTTTTTTCCCACTACTAGTTTGGGGGAAATCTTTACAAGATTCTACTTAGTCAGGATGTCTGAAGCATTTGCAGAATACTCAAGGCATTGTTCCCTGCTACCTCCACCTAGCAATTGCAACCAAGGCGTTTGGAATTGCTAGAGCTGATTAAAAATGAAAATATGGTGAAATGAAAATATTAGCTTTTATTCTGCAGTCAGTGTAATAACATCTTAAATACTTTCTCTGGTACGTATCATAAAAAAGCATACAAGTCAGCTGATTCTCAATAAAACTTGGGTACTCTTGAAATATGCAATCTTCAGCATGAAAGTATTAACGTAAGTTAAAAACTACATATAATGCAAGTACAAGGAGCACTGAGCTCACATAGTTGACCAACACTTTTCTCCCAGCATTCAGTGAGTTAGAAATTTACTATTACAATAGTATTATACCATTATCTATTCAAAAAGACTTGATCAGGCAGCATCAGTCACACAATTGTGAATCAGAGATGCTGACCCAGTACAGCTCATTTTCCTGTATTCTAACTATTTGAGTCACTGCCATGGTTTCAGTGGCATATTCGCCTACAGCAGAAAAAACAATGAAGCACTTAAATTCCTTGTGAGAGAAACAGCTGAGAACGTGAGTAATTAAGTTAAGGGAAAGTTGTTGTCAGTTAAACGAATTTACATTGTAATTACTTTTCACATCTTTCCAATGAATGGACCAGAGAAGGTACAAAGGTTTTTACTGGGAGTTAGGTTAATACTGTACCTCACAAGACAAACCGGAATAACCCGTTGGGCAGTCACATTGCTCTATCAAGTGAGCCTGTGGAGTCATCCCAGACACACTGCCACGTTCTGCAACTTCCATTGCAATCTCAGAAATCCTGAAAAAAAAGGAGCAAACGTCTCAAATGCAGTTAATCAAGTGCTAACTCAAACCCAGTTAGTTTGATCTACAGGAGACAAACAGCACTGGTTTTTTGCATTTCCTAAGGAAACTACAAAGTTAACACCAACTCTGGTCTCATTTTTCATTTCTATGCCATAGTATAACTAACTAGCTCTCCTGCTTGAATCTGTATCTTTTTTTAATCTCTTTTCAGCCAAACTATTAAGAAAAGTTCATATCTGATGAACTTTTGGAGGGACTCATTAAGAAACTGAAGTCACTAAAAGCAGTTCCAATTCATGACTCTCAGGGGTACAGCAATAAAATTGTTCACTAAATAAGCTTTTAATGAGGTGACTACTTAAAAAAAACAACTATCCTCAGCAACTAAAGCAACCTAACAAGCCCTAGAATAGACTTCAAATACATTAGACATTTGCCTTTTTAGCAGGAATTTTAAGATCTGTAGCCAGAACTTCTTTTTTTTTTTCTTTAGGATCATTTAGACACATAAACAAACAACTCAAAGCAAACATTGAATCCTACTAAAGAAGCACCTGTGAGTATCAGAAACCAGGATAATTTTTCATGCTACAGCTTCTGACATTTTAACTTTCCAAACATTTGTTTGATTGCATTAATAAAGAAATCCTTGCCTCACAACCACTCCTTGTCTTTCCCAGCATGAATGCTGACCTGTTAAATAGATTTGAGTACATCACAGATGACAACAAACTTAACATCTAGTGAAATACACTTAATTCTCATGTATCACAATGCTGTACTTTTAGCTTATTTTGTTATTTGGGCGGTTTGTTAGCTTGTTTAAATGAAAGCTATGATCCAGAACACCTATTGTCTTTGAGAGGCAAAAAGGGCAGAACAGTGTAAATTTTAAAGCTTAAAATGTAATGCCAACCTAAGATAAAATGTCAAAGATCGTCTGACTAACTAGCTGAGTAAATGTCAATAATGTGGCTAGAGTCTATTCATTAAGTGTCTGAACACAGGGCTAATGGAGAGGAGCTCGCAGAACTGCTCAGCTCCTCCACACGCTCCTAGTCTGTTTACCTGCTCCCAAACCTTGATTACGGAGTGAGTGAGTGATGCTCTTCTGCTCATTGACATATAGGTGCCAATGTCAGGATCAATGTTGGAAAAGCAAATGCTGACTGTTGAACTAGATGAGAGCTTTGTGATTGAGCCTAGGCCACCAGATCTGTACACCTCTTGATACCTTGTGTCAGTATAAAAATCCCCAAATCAATTTAGTAACTTAAACCCTTGGGCCTCTTCTTATTACCTGAAGAATAATATACATGTTCAGTGCAGCAGAGAAACTGAACAAAAAAAAAACACAAGCAAAAATTGTCAGGTCAAAACATAAGACTGAAAATAAAGAGAGCAAAACCATTCAGATCTGATATGTCAATGTAAGTTTACATTGAAATCTCTCTACATTTAATGGGAAACAAAAAATGAAATCTGCCTCCACATCATCTTCAAGGCTGAGGAAACAGTTGAGAAACTATTTACTGTCATAAAACTGTATTTACATAACAATACACTATAGGATCGCAAAGCTACCTGTTGTTTGTGTGAAAATGTCACTTAAGGATAGTCAGGCTTGGTTGATTTTTGGAACACATTTATTAGGCAACAATCCAACAACTTCTACCCGATCACTGTCGGGGAAATTGAAATAATTTGCAGTCAAATTGAAAGCATACTTCCAATTCTAACAAATTTATTATCACTTCCCAGTTGCCTGAAAAGCAAAACAAAGTCTAATAAAAGAAATGTTCCCATTTAGAGCAGCAAATGTGAAAATGAGGGCAACAAAATGAACAATAGAAGAGAAAAATGTTTGGTTTTGGATTCTGAGCAGAAACGTCTAAATCACTAGCAATGCTGCAGCTTTGAAGCAGAAACAACATTAGCATTGCTGCTCAACTATATAGCTAATACAGTGCTAACACTAAAACTAAGCTATTTTTATTTTTTCAACTACTGCTGCTACTTTGACTTTATTTTAAAATGCTTTCCTGTAGTTTATCATTTACCTGAAGCTTTTAAACTTTGCAATTGACATTAAAGCACTATTAAAAGGCTAAAAAAATTTTCAAAGATTTTATA